GAGAGAGAGAGAGAGAGAGAGAGAGAGAGAGAGAGAGAGAGCCTGCCTTGCAAGTGCAAGGTCCTGAGTTGGATCACAGGTACAAAAAAAAAAAAAGTTCCTGGCTTTACTCTGGGGTTTCAGTTCCAACTTTCTAACTTATATAGACCCCAGGGATCCTTTCTAGCAATTGAGTGGCAATTAATGCCAGTATTTAATATTCTATATCTTGTTTTGTGTGGTGGACACATGAATTACATAGCTTTTGAAAATTCACCGAGCACTTAAGATTTATACATTTTATTGCATTTGAATCACACATCAATTAAAAATCTAACTCAAGTCCCTCAGGGATTTTTTCTTTCTTTTCATTTTGCTTTTTTGACAGCATCTGTGTAGCCCCGGCTGGCTTCAAACTCACAGCAATCCTCCTGCCTCAGCCTCCTGAGGGCTGGCATCACCAATGTGTGCCACCACATCTGCAAGCCCTTCTATTAAAATCAGCAAAGCTTCCCTATCTCTTTAGGTCAGCATTAGGACCAACCCTTCTGAAGGAGGGTTTTTAATTTCTTCTTTGTATTTTGGTCCTGGGATGCCCCTTACTTTCCTGCATTCTTAGGTATACGCATTTTGAAAATGTTTATTATATTTTGTCTCAGTATTTTTGTAGTGTGTGGGCTACCAAATTCTTTAGACTAATAGTTCTCAACCAAGGGAGATTTTGTACCCTAGAGGACACTGGCAACATCTGAAGATATTTCTGGTTGTCTCAACTAGGGGAATGAGTTCAGGGATCCTTTTAAAACATCCTACAATGAGCTGGATGGTCCCCCACAACAAAGAATTATTTAGGCCAAAATATCAACAGTACCAACATCAAGAACCGCCGATCTGTATCACCTTAAATCATTGCAACTCATTGTAGAAACGTTTACCCTTTGTGTTTCACAATGACATGATATAGTTATCATCCATGATGAAAATTAGCTCCAGAATTCACCAATAAGACATTCTGCGAAATGATGTGTAGGAAAATGGGCAGATTACAGCATATTTGTATGTCTTCATCTTTTTCTACCTGACAGTACTACTATTAGTTATGTTAACATGCCAAAATTAAAGCACAAACAGAACAGATTATAGGAGTTCAGAACTAAAATTAAGAGCCTTAGAGATAGGCCATCATTTAAGAATGATGCATACTCTTGTCAGGTCGTAAGTTTCCACTCAAATCCAATGTTCATCAGTAAATTACTACCCCAAACGCTCTGGCTAGGCGATGAGAAGAAGATGGATGTCCTTGGGTGACAACTGACATTTGAGAGTATACTCCCTGGGTAACACACCACACTAGAAGCGAAACATTTATTGCTTTTACTGTCTAAGACTTCCCGATTTGCTTCTGATACAATACTATTAAGGCATTTGTGGTTTTAATACACTGGGCTGCAAGAAGAATAAGACAAGGCAGGACTTGGGCTTCATGCTGTGGAAATGCCTAATGATCTTATTATTTAATACTTTAGGCACATAACTAGGTACAGAGAGTAACATAATGAATAGCTATTTTCTTACCAAACAGCTTAAGAAATAACACATTAGAGATATGATAGGAGCCCTGTGGGTTCTCATGGTCCCTTCTCAGAGACAGCCTCTTTCATGAACTATGCACTTACCAGTTCTGTGCTTTTTTTTTTTTTTTTT